ATTAGTATAATTGATAGTAGTTTTAGAGCTGCACACCATTTTAATCATGTAGTTACAGCTTTCATGACAGAAGAAAAATGAAATAGCAGCTGGGAGTTATCTATTAATAGTGAGGGAACAGAAAGGTAAAAGGAAAGACTCTTCTCTTCTAGGACTTCAGGGCTTTTACGGCGTTAGTAATGAATGACTAATGTATTCTAAGAGGAGCATGCTGATCTCCAAGGATGTAATGAAGGGCAGCAGGAGGTAGGATCAATGTGAGTTAGAAATTTGATATCATTAGGAAATCATATGGCTACAAAAGTATATGGATAGGCCAGAAAAAATGTCAAAGCTTGAGAATATAAAACATGCTTATGCATCCATATATGAATGGGATTACCTGGGAATGTACGTTAGGGGTTCAGACTCTTGACACACAGAATACATTAAAGTTTCCTGGAAAAGCATGCAGTGCTACTGTGGATAACGAGGATGTGAGAATGGCAGAACAATCAAAATTTATTTGGATATATGATTATTTGGGATGGATTTGAAATAAACCAGGGTACAATGAAAAAAAACAAAATAACCAAGAGAGTTTCTAAGCTGTCAGTAAAATATCCCAAATGAGTAAATTTGTTCATTTGCTGCAGCTGGTAATACTTTTCTTGAAGGTTTCTCCTATCATTGTTAATGACACCCAGTTTCTGAGGTTGGGAGGCTTTACAACAAAAGAAAGTTTGTTCTACTGACTCTTTCTCACATATATAGTTTAAAAAAAAACCACAGCAAAACAAAACAAAAAATCCCTGTACAGGTGGCTCTTACAGTACATCATACTGGGAGAAAGAAGCACATCAAGCTAACTCCCAATTATGTTTAAATCTGTATTTCACTAAGTTCCTCTGTGACACTACTTTTGTAAAAAATACAGTGTGAGATGAATTAATTAATAAATGCCAACTATATTTTACATCTAATAAACCTTTTTTCTTCTTTAAAATAAAAAGGAAAAAATAATCACAGTTCAATTAAATATGTCAGAGAACAACATAATGGAAAGTGAAAGAGTCTGGGGGTATAAATTAGATTTTAACTGTGCATGTGCCCAGAGAACTGTACCTACTTAAGGAAGACTGGCTTGGTCATGAAAATAAATAATACAATGTAGCTCTAACAACTTATTGACAATCATACCTATTTTGAAGATCATGCCAAATAACTGTGTGTTATTCATAATGTTAAAACATTTTTGCAGTTCCAGACTTTATGGATTTTACATATAAACATGGCTAGAAGTATTCAACTGTCATTACGTATGTGGGAATTGTCAGATGTTAAGTACTTCTAAAGACTTGTCAAAAAAATTCTCATGCAGCTTTTTTTCTAGCTTTGCAGAATGATTGTTGGCCTTTTCCATTATTTTCTTTTTTTACTTGAGTTTCTCCTTTCCTGTATTCTTGCACAAAGAAATAAACTTTGACAATAGGATTCTAAGACTTTTGGTGCCTAGGCAGAGTGAATAATGTTCACTCTGCAATTATTTATACAATGAATAGTCACTAAATCTGTTGTTGTTCCAGTTAACAGTATATTGTGTCTACATGATAGAGCCAGTTATATTTTTTAGGTCAATTAATGCAGAAAGGACAAATTTTTTAACTAGCTCTGTAGAAAAAATATGAACCATATATTTGGGTTAATACATTAGGGTCCATGAAAGTCAGGAAAACAGTAAAGTTACACACAGAATTCTTCCTCTAGATGAGAGAAAATATGGACAGTGATTGTATTTCTTACATAACTATATAGAATTGGTAAAATATTAGATGACTTTTCCAACAATTTTAAGTACACATATTTGGAATCTCGCACCAATGATTTATTCTTAAACATATAAACTTTATTTGCATTCTATCTCTGCCTCTGTTCTGACTTAACTTGGAGCCCCTTAGAAATGGCCATGCATTTCAGAAAGTTAAATCTTTTTCACTTCCAATAAAAGGGCACAGGTTTCACTACCAGCAAAACCCAGGGCATAGGTTTTGAAATTAGTTCACAACTCTGATGAAGCACCTTGATTCCATTATGATTTTCCTTCACAACTACATAAATCTTGAGAAGTAACTATTATTTTTGGTTCCTTCTCCTTTGCCTTATAGACCACTAACTCAGTTTAAGTACAGGTAAAATCTTCAGACATTTACCAGAAACATTGTTTAAGTTTCTTTTAGATATTAAACTCAGCTTATTAATCAGTGAAAAACTCAGCTTTCACTCAGTGAACAGTTATGCAGAACCCTTTTTTTTTTTGGTTCAAAGACTGGTTTTGGTCTGCAAGATTTAATACTTTATCTTTGACTGGGGAGGAATAAAGCATTCCTTTGCCAGGGAAACTTTGGAAATATCATTAGTACCCTCAATTAAAAGAACACAAAAGAAGAATTCTCCAAAACACCGAGCATTTTAATATATATATATCTACAGTAATACCTAATGATTATCTGTAAATGTTTACACATCCACAATTTTCTGCAAAAAAAATTTAAATAAAGATAATAACAAACAAATGGGATGTGTTGTTGCATAAACATGACTTTTTAAGACATGTCTCAGATCCATCAAGTTGAATAGACAGATTTCAGTACAAATGCCTAGTTTTATCAGCAGACCCAAGAGAATTTGTATTAATTTTATAGCTTGTTTGAAATTTATCCTGTTTTGAAGATTGTTATTTTTATTCCTCACCTCATATTTTCTTAATTTTACACTCTTCAATGACACCATACTTCACATGATAGTGTAGCTTTCTTTGGAGGAAAGACATTTGCAGAATGACACCAATATGAAAATGACTTTATTTACGGATCCAAACAAAACCATCTAATTTCTGTTCATTTATTGATTTTGGTAGCGAATCACTACTGTTGCCTAATTTCAGTTACTACGCTACCATTACAGCTCCATATTTCTCCAGTTCACTAGAGAAACTTCTGATCTGGATTTAAGAGCCAAACTGTCATTCATTTTGTGCCACATTGCCTTCTCCAACTGTTACTGGACAAGGATTCTTAAGATAATAATATATTTTATAAAATGTAATACTGTGTCATGGTTTAACACCAGCCGGCAATAAGGACCAGGCAGATGCTTGCTTATCCTCCCTTTCCCATAGAAGGGCAGGGAGAAGAGGTAGAAATGAAGTGGAAAGGGAGGAGAATGTTGTTTATTCAACATTAACTGTAATAATCAATTCTGTTATTTAGATGCTTAGATTTGCAAATGTTGAAGCAAACACAGCCTCTCAGAGCATCAACAGGAGTTGCTTTTGTATTATTAATAACATTGCAAATCAAGAACATACTGTGTAATCAGTTCAATATATGAGTCAGTTATGTTTAAGTAATATAACTCCTTTACTTTTCAATTACCATACTTTGGTTCTCCCAAAATAATAAAATATTTAATTCACATTCTTATTTTATACTCCATACACATTCAAGAAAAGGAATGCCAGCCACTGGTGGGACTGATTTACTGAGAATTTTTACACAGTCCTTGACCTATGGAGCTTTCAGAACAAAATTATGTTGCCTTTTTGTGTATATGAAGGATGAGCATAAAGTTGGCAATAGATTAAGGAGGAGAAAGATAACATTCTCATACAATCCATATCTAGTAGAGGAAGGGTCAATGGCACTTAAGCAGTGCGGTTTCCAAAAGGCATCTGCCTTGAAGATGTCATGAAAGTTTGAAATCCTGATGCTTGTAGTCCTTTTTACCTGTCAGCTACATTGGCCAGAAGCTAATCAGTGCTCCCTGACTGTGTCACAACAATTGTGTTCCATTATAGGTGGTAAAAGGGAATCCTGATCCCTTGATCAGAGGAGAGCATTGTGCTTCATGGCTCTGTGCCATTAGGCACTAAATGTGAGCTACAGACTATGTAACAAGAGGCAGTAAAGTAGCACAGTTGTTTTCCTATCATTTACTCTGTATACTCTCAGATACTTTATTCTACCATCAGAAAACAATGTTTTGACTGAGCTCATCCAAGCATCAGAGCATCTTTATAAACAGTAAGCAAAACTATGACTCATCTCTGTATGACTAACATTTTTGTCAAGGCCATCTAATCTTTTCACCTGACAGTGGATATAGATGTTGTAAAGGAGGAGGAATTCATCCATGTGGATTTTCATAGGAAAGCAGATCAAAGTAAAAGCATAATTTCAGTTTCAATGTCAGTTGAATTTCATCAGACTTTAGACACATACATTGCACTGCGATGTTGTGAATCAGGAGAAATACTCCAGGAGAATCATACAACCACCAAATCATAGAATCATAGAATTGTTTGGGTTGGAAGCGACCCTTAAAGATCATCTAATCCAGTCCCACTGTCATGGGCAGGGACATCTTGCATTAGATCAAACCTGTCTTTGAACGCTTCCACCCTCATCATAACAAAATTCTTCCTTATATCCAATTTAAATCTATTCTCTGTCGTTTTAAAACTGTTGCCCCTTGTCCTGTCACTACAGACCCTGGTATAAAGTGTCTCTCTATCTTTCTTATAAAGCCCTCTTTATAAACTGAAATGCCACAGGTCTCACTGAAGCCTTTTCTTCTCCAGGCTAAACAACTCCAACTTTCTCAGTCTTTCTTCGTAGGAGAGGTATTCCAGCTCTCTGATCATTTTTGCAGCTCTCCTCTGGGCCTGCTCTAATAGGTCCATCTCTTTCTTGTGCTGGGGACCTCAGTCTGGATGCAGTATAACAGGTGAAGTCTCACAAAAGCAGAGAAACACTTCCTTCAACCTGCTGGCTATGCTTCTTTTAATGCAGCCCAGGGTACGACTGGCTTTCTGGGCTGCAATCACACATTGCCAGCTTATATCAAATTTTTCATCCACCAGTATTCCCAAGTCCTTCTCAGCAGGGCTGCTCTCAATCAAGTCATCCTCCAGCTTGTATTGAAATTTGGGATTGCCCCAACCCAGGTGCAGGATTTTGCACCTGGCCTCTTTGAACTTCATGAAGTCCATAGAGGCCCACTGCTCAAGCTTGCCAAGGTACCTCTGGATGTTATCTGTACCAACTGTACCACTCAGCCTGGTTTCATCTTCAAACTTGCTGAGGGTGCACTGAATCTCATTATCTATGTCATTAATGAAGATATTAAATAGCACTTGTTCCACTGCAGACTTTTGAGGGACACCACTCATTACTGATTTCCACTTGGACCTTGAGCCATTGACTGTAACAGTTTGGATGTTGCCATCCAGGCAGTTTCCTGTCCATCTAACAGTTCATCCATCATGCCAATATCTCTCCAATTTAGAGGCATGTGGGGATTCAAAAACCTTACAGAAATCCAGGTAAGTGACAGGTAGCAACTAGTGAGTCTGTTTGAGAAGTCCATCAGGATCAGACAAATATTGCTATGTAAGTGCTTGCTTCTCCTAATTTAAAGTCAGTCTACACAGCTAGGTCAGATGCAGATATCCACAGTCATGTGATCTGAATGTCACCAGGGATGTATTTCCACAAGGAGGATTCAGAACATGTTATAATTACTGCTGTTCTAAACATGATTTGTAGAAGTTGTTCATTATGAAGAACATTAGAAGCTAGAGAGACAGATTCACTATTTATTCTTACACTATCTGTAAGATAGTGTAGGCAGAGGCCAGCAGTAATATATCTATAGTACAAAAGCTCCTTACAATTACTCCGTACTACTTGCTTGAACTTAAATGTAGCAGATGACAAAAGTTAACTTCAATTAGATTAACTTTTTGTTGGGCTTTGATTAACTTCTGCCAGGCTTGTTCAGCTGTATGAAATTTGTCTCTATGTACAATTTGGTCAGACTTGAAATATTGCATTATTTTCCTCATGGATAGTTATGCTGCTACATTCTTGACTACTTCGAGTACTGAATAGTGCATTGAATTGTGCAACAAAATCTGCTTAGCATGCGTAGGTTTTTAGTCATCTGCAACCCCCAAAGGACTCTACTTCCACCTTTTGGTCAAAGATGGTACTACCTTACAGGGACTTAGGAAAATGATGGTAACAGGGTATTTGATATCTTACCCTGGAATATCGGTGAACCACTTTACATTTTCCAGAAAATCTTGATAATTGAATGCACTGAAGCTAAGGAACATGGGTTGATTTTTGGCTTGTGAGTACAAAATGGGATGATTCGTACTTCAGGCTTCATATATAAGATCTTTTATTATAATAACATTGTTTTTACAGCACCCCATGCTCCATTCAATTGCAAGCTGTAGATATCTGGGACTGACTTACCACCTTAAATAACAACACAAACAGGACTTTAAATTGTCATTGAGAAACGTTAAGAAATATATTTGAAGAATTTTATATGTGTTTTTTATCCCTTTGGATGATTATAACAATCACAGAAGACATTTTTTTAGAAAGGTCACGTGAAGTAGGTGTTTGCACAGTACCTCAAGTTGCTCTTGCTGAAAATACATTCAACCTTTCCTGAGTGCAAAGGATAAAGTCTCTCAAATATGTAATACCACATTTTCAACCCAGCCTTCTTAAGCATGAATTACATGAGAAGATTAAGAGGAAAAAGAAACAGAGTACGCAAATAATCTGTTTCTAAGATAAACATTTAATATAACTTGCCTTTAATTAAAAAAAAAAAAAGCTAAAAGGTGTCCTTTGAGATAGATCAAAATCAAACTTCAATTTTCAAGCTTAAATTTCAATTCACTGAATAAACTTTCTATGTTTGGACATCTTATTTTTTCTTCCGGCCTAACTCCATATCCAAAAATTGTTAAATGATTTGTAAGAGCTTGCCATATTTATACAGTACCCAATACAGAAATGGCATTTTTTCCATCCTGTGGTTAAAATATTACTAACTTTATCTTATACCCCAACCTTCACTTTATTAAAGGAATTGACAACTGCTTCGCCCTAAGAATCTAAAAAAATCATATTTTTCTGAAGGAGAATCCAATTTCTTGTATCAAAAGAATAGGGAACAATACATTTTCTGAGGTGACATTTTGTGATATAAGTTATGCCACCTGTTAACCAGAAATTAAGAATTCATGGTGCTTGGTCAACTCTGAAAGTATTATCTTCAAATAATAACAATCAATAACAAAACAATTATTTTGTCTGATACACAGAAGATTAGCCTTATGAGCAACACATTTTCTCAGAATCAGAGATTTGCATCCACTCAATGATTCAACAGTTTTAAAAGTCCTTTCATTGCTGCTACATATCCTTTTTTAACTGAACAATTCACAGAAGGAGTTATAGAGAGTCACATTTTTTGAAAACGTCTTCATCTTGTTTGTTTTGGAAAGTTTCCACATTTAGAATTGAACATGGTAAGAGACAGATGTATAAACATATACCAAACCCCTGATTTTTTATTTACTTTTATATGTCTTTTCTCTCACATTTATATCTACAGCTTTATTGCCTCTCCTTCCACGAATACTTAGCTTTCTTAATAGGCTCTTCTATATGAAACCACATGAACAAACTTTTCTAAGTCTAAATGTAGCATGTTTCAAAATTTCTTTTATTCATTCCACTATTGACATCTACAGTTCATCTCAAGAACTGTGTGAAAGATGCTTTTCTTGGAAGAGACCATGCTGGATAACTTCCATTATTTCATGCTGTTTGATGTTTTTACTACCCTATTTCTACTTGTTTCCCAACAGGCAGTTGTCACATACAGGTATAAAGATTTAAGTGGCTTAAAATGTTCTAGGTAACATTTATAGCATTTGTAGCTAAAAACCACAAACTCATAATTAAAAGAGGTCAAGAGGCAATTAGCACAAACTGAAACACAGGAGAAAAAAAGAAACACTTATTTACTGTGAGGGTGACTGGGCACCAGCACAAGCTGCCCAGAGCAATTGTGAAGTCTCCCTCCTTGGAGATATTCAAAAGCTATCTGGTCATGGTCCTGGAGAATTGCCTTTATGTGGCCCTACTTGAACATTGGGATTGGACCAGATGACCTCCAGAGGTCCCTTCCAACCTCAACTATTCTCTGTGATTCTGTGAAAACAATGTATAGTTAAAATTTCTGCTTTCCGTATGTCTGAGACATTGAGCTGCTTAGAAAAAAGAGACTGGATCTTTCTGTTGTCAGCTCAGTTACTTCACAGTTAAGCTTTTTTAGACTCTTGGGTGTATACCATCTGGAGTGGTGACTCTGCTTTTGAAGTTGTTAGTTTACTCCAAAAATGTTGTTTCTGACAAGTCAGTCTCTGAGGATTCCTCATGTTAAATATTAAACAAGCTAGGCCCAAACTGCTGCATTTTTACTGATGGTGGTAAGAAATGATCCACTTCTCAGTATTGCCTGCATCTTGTTTAGCTGTTTCTTTTAACCCTTTGATATAGTCTCCCACTTCATCAACGGGTTTTTTGCAAACCATGATTTGATTTTGGCATTTCCGATTTCCTCTGATTTCAATCATTATTCACAAAACATTCCTCTCTATTCTATAGTAAGCATGTTTCTGAAGGAAAAGTGACAGGGCAAGGCCAAAGAACCAGGGAGTCCATCTCATGAAAACGGCATGGTATGTGCACATGCACTGATAACAGTATTTTTCCTGTTGACCAGAGAGGATGGTGACCTCTGATGAATTTTCTTAATTTATGGTTCTCTTTGTCATTAGCTGGGCAGTGACTTTTCCTCATGGGATAGGAATAATTCAACATAATTAGCAATTTCTCAAATATCTTCACACTTATTGAATCTAATATCAAACCTGGCTCCTGATGTGGAAAAACGTAATTCCTTAGGATTTCTGTATTTTGTGTTTGTACCAAGAACTGTTTATGTTTTAATGGGATATTAGATTGGTGTTTCTTGAAATACCTTTATTTCAAAGTGTTTCATAGGCAAGAGCATCAGACAAGGAACATCCTTGATTCCAGAGACTTTCCATAACTAGTGTTAAGCGCTATTCTAGGTAGCAGTACCTTGTCTAGTAAGTATGAAAATCAGAACTCTTTGAAAGATGAAAAGTGCCTTTGCCTTCCTTTCTATGAGCCTAGACCAGCTGGGGATTTTACAAGGATGGTGTGTTTGGTTTTGGGGTTTTTTTTCTTCTTTTATTTCCTTTTTGGGTTTCTCCCTTATATCCACTTTTAGCTTCTCTCAGGAAATTGAATCTGTTCGATCCAGTTTATCAGAGCTTGAACTAAATTGCCACATAAATCTTCCAAAGCACTCTTTTCTTTCTTTTTACATCACTATTATGACAGCTAGTCATCACTTTAAGGAAAGTACATATTCTTCATGCTCTAGATCCCCCTGTCTAAATATGTTAAGGATAGATGGATGCTTTTCCTTAACTTCGCTTCAGTTTTAACCCACTTGGTCCTCCCTCATGGAATTGAAAAGGTAGCATTATTTGTCAGTTCCTCCATGCTTTGTTTCGACCAGATGTTAGTAGAAAGTAAATTAAGTCAGAATGCACAACGTAATTCATGGAACTGATTTTACTTTTGGGAACGAGTAGGCACAAAGGTGTCGCAAAACAATTGCAAGTCCTAATAAATGGAAGAAAATAGACAAACAGTATTTTCTGAGCAAAAGGAGTTTAAAAATATAAAATTCTAGAATTTACAAAGAAGAAAAAACTTAAAAAAAAATTTGAGTTTACTGCTGGTAAGTATGGTGATTACTCACTAAAGAAATAAACCACTCCAGAAATACACTTGGAGGTTTGAACAAGTCAAAGACTCTGGTACAGCCTTATTTCAGTAGTCTTTTATACATGTGTTGAAATATGACCCTTGACTACATTATTACGTAATACTTTCTGTGAATGACTGTTTCCAGTTGTCTTAGTACATCTTTGGTGTCTTCAGAATCTTAGTTCTAGCCTTCTCAGCTGAAGTTTTTGGTATAGTTTAACTCCTGAGCCTGCCTCTGTCCTAGCTACTGTTGCATACTTGTCAATGTCCCATCATCTCTATGGTCAGCCCCATTCTCACCATTGCTCCTGAACTTCACTTTCCAAATACTAATTTCTTCCCTTAGTTTAGAGACACAGCAAAAGTGTGAGCCTCTAAAAAACATGCAAAAAGAGGGCAAATATTCCCATACTCACAGCTAAAGAAGAAGAGACCACACAACTAGTCATGGAATCAGAATGGTTTGGATTGGAAAGGACCTTAAAGATCA